GAGGCTATAATGAAGGCAAGTGAGGGCATCCTTAATAGTCGTCTGATCAATGAAAATGTTATTACTAGATTACCCAAACCCCTTAGTTTAAATCATTCTTTTTCAAGAATAATATGCTAATTTATTATTAGGCTTATATAAATAATTTAGTTAAGACAATTTTCCGACCCATATTATTACTATATTTATATTTAGGGGGATTTTATTGGCACCCCATTATTTGCTCTTTGCACTTCATATTAATTTTAAACATGAATAACCTATTTTACCTTTGTACATAATTACTGTTAAGGACAAAAAAATTAAAAATTAAAAATTAAATTGCTCACTACACCCCACATATGTTCATGCAACCCTAGTTTGACTTTTTTCTCAAACCATCATATTCCTACGAAACTAACAAGATTTATACGTTTATATTGCAAGTTTAGGGTTTAGGGTTGGTCCCTGGTTGCGTTCAGCACATCAGTACCAAACGCCATAGGTAAATTCGGCGGGATTCCACTGAAACGTTTCACCTATTTCGGTCGTGTTTGACCGGTCATGAACTTAATATTCGGTGGAGATCTACCGTAATATGGAACGTTGTTCATTGGTTTTTTACCGAAATTTTACCTACGTTTCAATGGCAACAAACCGAAATTTATTTATTTTTTCAGTAACTTATTGTCGACTATAAATTTAATGCAAGCTATTTTGATCTTACTCCTATTAAAGGAACAAAAACAAGGTGACACTCCTACTGAAGGTAACAATGTGGGAACAGAATGTATAATGGACTATAGTGATCAATTCACAACTTATTCGGTAATTATTTTGAGTTTTTTTTTTGTCTGAAATCATTTTTAGAATCTTCGGGGACAAAAACAAGAAACAAGGAAACAAGAAAAGAACAAAAAACAAGAAACAAGGAAACAAGAAAAGAACAAAAAACAAGAAACAAGGAAACAAGAAAAGAACAAAAAACAAGAAACAAGGAAACAAGAAAAGAACAAAAAACAAGAAACAAGGAAACAAGAAAAGAACAAAAAACAAGAAACAAGGAAACAAGAAAAGAACAAAAAACAAGAAACAAGGAAACAAGAAAAGAACAAAAAACAAGAAACAAGGAAACAAGAAAAGAACAAAAAACAAGAAACAAGGAAACAAGAAAAGAACAAAAAACAAGAAACAAGGAAACAAGAAAAGAACAAAAAACAAGAAACAAGGAAACAAGAAAAGAACAAAAAACAAGAAACAAGGAAACAAGAAAAGAACAAAAAACAAGAAACAAGGAAACAAGAAAAGAACAAAAAACAAGAAACAAGGAAACAAGAAAAGAACAAAAAACAAGAAACAAGAAACAAGAAACAAGGAAAGAACAAGATAGCATCCTAGGGGACAGAATCGCCCAGGAGCAAAACCCTAAACCTGTTTTCTTTCTTTCTCTCCAATGGTAGGAAATTTTATTTGGTCGTTGTTGGTTGATTCAGAATCTTCGGAATCGCTCTATTCTTCCTCTGTGGAAGCTTGGTCCGAAGGAGACAAAGAGGAGGTGAACCAAACTGAATATGAGTTTGAGCCTCCAATTCCTGAGTCTGAGTTCGAATTGGAGCCAATGGAAGAGATGCCTACCAAGAAGCCCAGATCGGAGAAGAGGAAGCGGCAAAGCAAGAGTGACAGGCCCAAGAAGAAGAAGAAGATCCTAGAGGAAGAGGAGAAGGCCGGTGGAGACTACTCGAAGACTCTGTTTGAGAGGATTTGGAGCAATGATGAAGAGATAACGATCTTGGAAGGCATGATTGAGTACTCCAAGAAAGGGCTGAACCCATATGGCGATTTGGTTGACTTTCATAAGTTTATCAATCAAATTATTTTTACTTATTCTAATGGGAAATTAACATTCAAACGTTTTCCTAGAAGACATATTTCTCCTCGAAAATAGTCAAACAATTCAAACAAAAGGAGAATCCCTCAGAAATAGTCAAGCAATTCCGATGGAATAAGAAACCCCTCATAAATAGTCAAACAGTTCCGAAGGAATGAGAAACCTCTCGGAAATAATCATTCTATTTCCATCAAACATACTTTTGGTCGTTAATAAAGCTGGCGCCAAGTCTTCCTGCCAAATAAATTACATTTCCGACGACAATAGAGACTTTTTCCGAGGGTATTTCCTTTGTTGGAAATAAATTTAAGGCCTGTAACATATTTCCAATGAACAACATTTTTTGGTCGGAAAAAACACTTTTACCGAGGGAATTTCGGGGCCCTCGGAAAATGTTGGTCGGTAATGACCTATTTTTTTTGTAGTGATTGCAAGATAAGATTCGTAGGCTCAAGAAAGTATGAGACCAATGTGGCCAAAGGGAAGAAGTATAATCATGTTAAGCCTCATGAGTTAAAGGTCTTTGACTTGTCTAAGAAGGTATGGGGCAGCGGCGAAGGGTCATTTGTGTTCGGTAGGTTGTCTGAAGAGTACAAGTGTAATGAGACGTGTGCATGTTTGAGAGAGCTGAGGTTGCTGGAGGGTTGCTTGGGGTCGATTGAAGAACCCAAGCGAAGTGAGTTGAAGGAGGAGTGGAAGAAGCTGCATATTGCAGAATTGGAGTTGCTTGTTAGAAGGAGTGAGTTCAAGAGAAATAAGGCTAAGCTGATTCTGGAGGCATTGAAGTGAAGTCATAAGACGGTGCATGTATAGCAAGTCCTTTTAAGTGCTTCTTGTAAGTTCTTTCCTGTTTTTGAATCTTAAATACTAACCTTGGTCTGACATGATAGCTTTGAATCGTATAGAAGCCTTCTTCCACTACTACATTTTTTAGTTTGCGTGACGAACACATATTCGTCGCAATAGTATGTTTTGCGAGACGAAAAAATTTATGCGTCGCACAAACTTCCATGGATAATAATTTTATAATTTTTAATGCTCGCGACGAAAACATTTGTCGCTCTAGTACATTTTGCGCGACAAATTATCTCAGCGTCGCGCAAAAGTAGGGAAAAAAAAGATCCCTGTCGCACTAGAAAAATCTCGGGAAAAAAAACAGTGGTGCAGCTTTTTTCACGCCAAATTGTTGTGTGACGACGTGCCTACTCGTCGCGTAAGGTGGATGTCGGCGTGGATGCGTGTCAAAGTAGGGTTTTGCGCGACGACAAAGTGCATTTGCGCGACTAAACTTTGCGGTACGGATATAATATGGTCGTCGCGCAAAGACGTGATGTCGGCACGTCTTTGCGCGTCCTTAAATTGGATTTTGCGCAACGGAATAAGTCTTTTGCGCGACTAATTTAATTTTTTCTTGGCGCGACAGAAGAGTCCCATTCATCGCGCAAAATGCATCGTCTTTAACAGGTATAGTTTCAGCCATTGCAGAGGTAAACTGAAAAAACCGTTTTGCCTCTGCTTCTGCCCCTTTCTCCGAATTCTCAGCCTGAAAATTTCAACCAAAGAGATTGAATTTCACTTCCTGCCTTGGCTACGTGCGTTTGGTAAGTTTTTTTTTATCGTTAGTGTAAAAGTTTTATTGTAAATTCATATTAACATTGTTAATTTCGTTGTGTATAGGATATTATATGTGAATAACGCTTGGAACTGGACAGAAGGTATTTTATTTGTTTTATATTTATTTAAAATATAAATTTAATTTTTTTATATATTGTTGTGAAATTATATTTTTATTATGTTGTTAAATTACGCACGTTGATGTACGAAGTTAATTGAAATTAACTTCGTAGATTTTTTTTTGTAAAGCTTAGTTCCCGTTCGAGGTTAGTTTGATGTCGCGCATGGATGCGTAAAGCATGACTGCAGTCCAATTAATTCTTGAATTGTCCTATATTTTGGACAGTTTGGAAATGCATAGTCGTGTCACATGGTTTACAACTACAGGATTAGATTCCGATTGTGGAGATTTCGGTGTCATCTCGGAACGTTCTTCGGGTGGTACGTAGGTATTTTATATCTACGGTACACCTCAAGAACTGTACCGAAATGCTGCCGAAATTCATCCACGTTGAAATCTAATCTTATGTAGCTGTAAATTACGTGACATGACTATGCATTTCCGAGTGGGATAGAGCCCTTACCGGGGGCATAAGGTGACGTGATGATTTTGTAAGAATACAACATGATTATTGTATTGTGATTGTGGTTCCAGGAATTATGAGCAGAAGGTGGATACAGAACCCTAACAGGTGCGCAGACGAATACTTGGATGAAATCGAGGAATTTATTCACTTTGCACGGTCACACAACCCGGGTGCAACTAGAATCCGGTGTCCTTGTAGGAGGTGTAACAATATGTTGTGGGAGACAATTGAAACTGTTCGATTTCATTTAGTAAGGAATGGAATGATTGAGACATACAACACTTGGAACCATCATAGGGAACAATTAGACATTGGTTCGTCTTTAAGGGCCACAAGAGTGGACAATGTTGAACCTATTGTGGATCCTAATGAACAAGTCATGGATATTATAAATGATGCTTTTCCATTTGCATCGACCAGCAGCAATCAGCAAGGGGAAGATGATGTGCCTACACCAACGGATAGTGCAGAGTTCGAACAGTATGAAAAACTGTTAAGAAATGCCAACCAAGAGTTATATCCGGAGTGCGAGAGCTTTTCCGTTCTGACGGCGATTGTGGAGCTAATGCACAGAAAAATAAAGTATCGTATGTCGAACCTGTGTTTCAATTACTTTTTGGGGGATTTTAGGAGAATGCTTCCGACGGACACGCACAGAAGATGTTGAGTGGTCTTGGATTGGGTTATGAAAAAATCCACGCGTGCAAAAATAATTGCATGTTTTTCTACAAAGAGTATGAAACATTGGATACATGCCCTATATGCAATGAGTCGAGGTTCAAACAGACTTCTCAGAATAGAATGACTAAGATTCCACAAAAAGTCATGCGTTATCTGCCCCTGAAACCAAGATTGCAGCGATTGTATATGTCGACGCATACTG